AGTCTACAGGAGGAGTCACATCAAGGTGACATCCAGGAACTAGTCTGACACTTACAGGTAGACCTCAGTGCTGTGAGCGGCCTGCTCGATGCTCATCGCTAGGCTGTGTTAGCTCCTGTTGGAACTGAAACCATCACAAAGAACACTAACATCAGACAAGGTCACTCTGAGACTGTGATAAAGTGAGATAAAACAAGGCCACTTCATAGACAAAAACAAGGTCATAGTATCATCCACAAAATTCCAAACATTCTCTTCTTTCAGCTAATATGAGTGAGCACCACTTCTTTACCAATGACAGCTAGCCTTCCCTTCTAGATAACCTATTAAGCTACCCAGTCATAGCATTGCCTCCCCTTCCTGACATTACTGAATCCAGAGCAAAGCCTCAGTTCCTTAAACCTTTCCTGAAATCACACAAATATAAACCCTGAAACCCTTAATAAGTCTTTTCTGAAACCCTCTCACTGAGAATGCCCCACAGTGCCCTATGTTGATTTCCCTTCACTGCCAAAGGTAACAAACCCAACTTGTTCAACTGCAGGTGTCATCCTGATGAACTTTGACTGGAGGGCATTGCCATAATAATAGCACTAATACTTATACATTGTTTGCTATTTACCAAGTTCTCTCCCTTACAGCATCTCACATGGTCTTCTCACAGTTCTGTTAAGTAGAATTACTATAGTCCCCATTTTATAGATGAAGAAACTAAGGATCAGAGAAGCAACACAAATATTAAAAGGTGAGGTCAAAATTTAAATTATGCATTCTCTTGCAAATGTCCAAGATCCTTCCACTATAACACATCAATGTATTATTAAATAGACTCAGAAAATGTCTTATACAATATTGGGATGAGTATTAGAAATTTGGACATGTGCATGTCAAGAAAATCCATTCAACAGTAATTTATTTGATACTACCAGGTACGAAGTTGCATGGAGAGATAACAGGAAATGAAAGAGAATCTCCTTGACCTCAAATACATCAATTGTTGCAGCTGTGAACTCAGTTAGTGACTGCAGTGAAAATTCAGAGAAAATAGAAATCATAGGTTTTCTGCCAGAAGTTCTAAGCTTGGTGAGATAAGAGAAGGAGATCATGAAGACCATTGAACATACACATATATACACACATCCTTCCCTATTACACTTAAATACTATATACATGAGAAAAGGAGAAAAATGGGGTCATATTATTTGATTCAATGAATCATTGTGAATTCCTTTTGTTGCTCTATACCTCTGGTCCACCTTCTCCCAACCAACACCAGTCTCTGTTCTCAGACAGGGTATGCAAATTAGCAACTAATAACTCAAACTAGGTTAATCCTATATCTACACTTTTCTTTTCTATCCTTTTTCCATATATGGACCCCAGGCAAATGGTTCACCCTCACCTCGAAAGACGTGGAAAGAAGTTGAACACTAAGGGAAAAAGTACCTGATAAAAATAGGATGCCATGGGGCTGGCCAAGTGGCTCAGCTGGTTAAGAGTTAGCTTAAGAGTGCGAGCTCTGAGCAATAGGGCCTCCGGTTCGATTCCCACATGGGCCAGTGATGCTGCCCCTGAGCTGAGCTGCCGCTGAGCTGCCAACAGGTGGCAGGATGGCTCAGCTGATGAGAGCACATGCTCCTAACAATAAGACTGCCTGTTCCATGGTGGGTTACACCCGCCCACAACTAAGACTGAACTCGGCACCTTGAGCTGAACTGGTGCCCGGATGGTTCAGTGGACAGAGAGTGCACTCCCAACAACAAGGCTGCTGGTTCGCCTCCCTCATGGGATGGTGGCTATGCCCATCCACAACTAAGATTGTAAGAGCACCTTGAGCTTAGAGGTCACAAGCTGCCGTCGGACAGCCAGATGGCAACTGGCACCCTCCACAACTAATATTGAAGAACAACAACTTGGCTGGTCCCCCTCCCCAATTCCCCAACACTGTTCCCCTCTCCCAATTCCCCAATTTAAATAAAAATAATAGGATGTCACCTACTTATAAGTTGGTATCAAATTTTGCACAAATAAACCTATTATTTTATGTGAACAATACACATCACCCCTACATAGCATCTACTTCATTTCTGTGGTTATATGTTTCTTAAAGCAGGACTCTAGAGTGCTGTTCTGATATGATCCCACATGGAAATGTCACTGCCCATTACTGCAACTCATGTGATCAAATCTAGCAAAGGTGGTGAGTAGAGACCCAATTTGTTGTTTCAAATGTTTCTTCTGTCTTCTTCTGATCTTCATTTCACAACTGGCCTAACCAGTAGGTCTTGGCCCATTGTCTTCATTGCTGATGCACCTCCTATCACAGTTTTACCCTGTAAGGTGGGATGTCAGGTAGAATAGCTATAAGAAATGTAGGTAGAACACACTGAGCTCTCAGACCACCACCTTTCATTGGGATAGATTATTTTTATGTGCTTTTCAGAACTATATTCAAATTTTCACATGCTTATTTCTAAATCCTCTGAAGAAACTGCAAATTTCTAGAGATCGGAGACTATATATTCTTCTCAGTAGTGTTATACATCTTGCTGACACTTGAGGATGCTTTACATTTAGTGAAGTCGCCTGAATTTGGCTATAAGATAATTAGTTCTAAGGAGAATTCAAAATGTCCACACCGAATAAATCTTACATATATTAAAAGCAATAATGCCGGGCCGGCCGAGTAGCTCAGTTGGTTAAGTGCTCGCTCAAGAGTTTGAGCTCTGAGCAACAGCAGTTCGATGCCTGGCCTGAGCTGAGCTGCCACTGAGCTGCCAACAGGTGACAGGATGGCTCAGCTGATATTTGAAAGGGCAGTTAAAAATTATGTGCCCTTGCCCCAAATGATCATCTGATAAAAAAAAAAAAAAAAGAGTTTGCTTATTGGGCCAGCCGAGTGGCTCAGGTGGTTAAGAGCTCGCGCAAGAGTGCGAGCTCTGAGCAACGGTGGTTCAAGTCCCAGCACGAGCTGAGTTGCCGCTGAGCTGCCAACAGGTGGCAGGATGACTCAGCTAAAAAACAAACAAACAAAATAAATAAATAAAAATAAAGCCAACAATTTTGGCAGAGTATAAAAATTTTTTTAAAATCATAGTTATTAGAATTCCCTTTTAGATAGTAAGAAAATTGGGATACAACATGGTAAGAATTTTATGTCTTTTATGACACAACTAAATTCAAGAATGGAAATAACAGGAGTCAGAAATGACACATGATAAATTCATTAAGTATTCAAGATAGACCCATAATGCTCACTTATGAGAGAATATGAACTAGGCCAGATTGACAAATAATATAAACATAACTTCAAAAAATTAAGAACCTACACAAAAAGAAAGCCATCCATTTTTTATGGCCTTCGAGTAATTTTAACGTTAGTATAATACTGTTAAAACACACTAGCTTGAAAACACATGCGGTCCTACTTGCATGACAAAGCAACAACGATATCAGCTGAGGAAAAGGAGGTTTTTCATCTGAATTCTAACAACTTGGCATCTCTATCTACTGATACCCAAGCATTTTATTCCTAAAAGTTCATAGAAAGTAGAGTATGAGAAACTTGGTTGATGATATTTTAACTGATAAGTGTCATTTTATCTTTGTACTAAGGATCAATTGAGGTAAAAGAATAAAAACTAATATACTGAAAGAGGTTTTATAGTTAGTTGTTATTTTTTTTTTTATTTTTTTTTTTTTAGCTGAGCCATCCCGCCACCTGTTGGTAGCTCACGGCTGCTCAGCTCGGGCTGACTCGAATCACTGTTGCTCAGAGCTCAAACTCTTGAGCGAGCTCTTAACCAACTGAGCCACTCAGCCGGCCCTGTTAGTTGTTATTATTATTTCCCCATGTTATCTACTTTGTCATACTCCATGACAAATAAGAGTTAAATATATCTGACTCTCTGTAAATGTCACAGCTCAGCACTTAAAAAAAATATTCTAAAATTTACATAAGCTTGCCCAAATCTTTGGAAAAAAGGCAGGGCATAAGTATATTTGTGTGTGTCTGTGTGCTTGCCTATCTGCATGCTTATAGAGAGAGAGAAATAAGACATAACGTAACTGATTTCATAAACAAATTTTATGGGAGTAATTTGCAAATAAAAAATCATGGTTTTTTAGCTCCTCAATATTCAAAATGTCATTTGTCACTCAGGTCTGTCTCTTTCTTAGAATGTGCCTTTGCTAGTCCTGGGAGAGTCTATCATTTGTGTGTGTGTGTGTGTGTGTGTGTGTGTGTGTGTTTTATTCCATAAATTGCAAGCTCCTTGAAAAGGGAGATCAGTCTTTCTCATTTTATAGGTATTTGTTTTATATTTGAATGTTTCAATAACCTAAAAAACAGCACTATAAAGGCTTCTCTCTCTAATAATGGGTAAAATTATCAACGACAGTAAAATAAAAATTTAAAAACAGATTATATAGTCTTCATAATCGCTTAAAGATTATGTCATTTATGATCTAACCGTTATTTTATGACTCTAGCAGTGTATCTAGATTTGATTTCCTAGAAAATATCTATCATTTTTGTGCATGGTCATTTGCACATTCCCACTTCTTCATTGACTGAGTGTTAGGGAATAACACTGGATGGGCCACCTCTAAACCTTTCTCTCTAGTGATAGTATGAAGGCAACAGTCAACCCGAAGTCCGTGGGCTCCTTATAATTTTCTTAAGATGAAAAGCAAATGTAGATGAAATCTTAGTGAAAAGCATTAATATGCATATTTATAGAAAAAAGTGAGCATTGATTGGTTACTCAGTCAAGGAAATACTATACACCATTGCAAATGTTAGAATCAAGAAAGGTACCCAATTTTAAGAAACAATAAACAAAAAACACATTTTCCTACATGACTGAAGGTTGTGTTCTTAATATTTCATATATATATATATATATATATATATATATATATATATATATATATATAATCTCAGAGACCATATACGAGATACACAGATGCAAAGTTCACTAAATGGCGAATGCGCTCACCTGGGCAGAGAGCAATATTACAAGGCTTATGATGAGTTTCAGGTCCTTCACATGGCCTTCCTCCATACTGAGGAGGTGTGCACGACCTTGTTCTTGTCCTTTGGCCTCGACCACATGTAAATGAACATAAACTCCATGGTGACCACTCCTCCCAAACTCCATGTACTGTAATAAAGCAAAGAAGCTTCAACAACAAAAGCAGAGAAGTCAAATATTTATTTTTCCTGATAATTAAGAAAAAAATAAACATCAAATAGACAAGTATGAACATTTTTTAAAATTTAGTTAACATTCTTATTTGCAACAAAATGTAAAAGGTAATTAGAAAATTCATTAAAATAATGGAAAATTGCGTGTACCTTTTCTGTATTTGAACAGTTATTCATGTCATACAGTTTAAATGTTACCTCTTTTTAATGGAAATGTACCTCTCTCTTCCAGGATAATATAGTCGTGAGCTATTTTTAAGTAAAGGTAATGTCAACTAAGGTAGTATAGAAAACTACATTTCTGATAACAGCAATTTCTGGAGTTAAATTTGCATTTAAGTAGATAAGGACCAACTTAATTCTGCCAACAAAGTGTTAAGATTAATGACTTTTATGGTGTCACGAGAAACCAAACCTGAAAATTGATAGTATATATTTTAAAAAGCTTTTTAACTTCAAATTTTAATAACTAAATGTATTTTTGCAATTTAAAAATGTAGATGTTTAAATCACTGTCTTTTGAATAAGAGGGAAATTTCAAAAACCTCATCTACTCTCATAAGATCCCTCTCTTGGCCCTGTTTGAAAATGAGTGGCAAATACTAGGACCTCTTTCTAACAGCCATGAAACCAGAAGATGCCTTTCCTCTTCCAGTAACTGAATGGCTCAGGAAATCCTAATTAATAAAAATTTCTACAGAAAATAAATGACCTAATTAAGATTATGCCTAACATAACTTATTGATACCGCAATATTTCAAGGATGTCATTGCAATACATTCACACTTGATAAGAAATACTAACATCGTTTGTGTTCCTCCAGAATAACCATTCTCAATAAATATTGACATTTTTTTTGCAAAAAGTCCTTTAGGGTTCAAAGGTTAGATGCTTTCCTTGCACTGTCAAGTCTACTCTCAATCCAATTCTCAATATTGGGGACAGTAAGTAATAGCACTCCATGGGTAATACAATTAAAAGAAGCTGGGAAAAATGTACTCTTTGGTTCAAAAGTTCTTGTCTTACCTCAAGTTTTACCATGATAAAAGAAGTTCATAAGCAGACGTTTGAAGTGACACCCACTGAAATAAGTAGGGTGAGTAGAAATTTATAACAGAAAATGAAAAAAAAGATGTTCATTTTCTCCTCAATACTGGTACGGGAAAGCAGAAGTCCATATAAAGGGTCAGAGGAGTTACGCGAGTATATATAACATGTCTAGACTCTTTTGCATGTATATGTTAACCAAGTTGTTACTGTAAAAAAACACATATGATACCTTCTTTATGAGGCACCCCATTCTCTTCTATTTATGCTATTGATTTGTTCCAACTGGTTGTGAAAATATGTTCAAATATTAGAAAAATCAGCCAATGGGAGTAATAGTCAATGGCAAATTAAGATTCTGTGAAAACTACAGGAAAATATATTTTTAAAAATACAATATAGAAAAAAAAGTAAAAGAGGGAAATTACAATGTATACATTTTTCCACTTAAGTTTGATAAACCAAAACCAATTTGTATTTATTGGTATAAGAATAAATAATAAGTCTGTATTTACCTAAAAAAAATACACCTATACATATATCTACATATAGGTATAAATGATCAATTATAGAAAGGTATTTTAAAAGTCATTTATATGAATACATTTTAGTATGTTAAATGTATACTTTCAATCAATTTCTTTACTTATTTCTAATTATCAAGATTTCTTCATATAAAAACAACCATTTTTTTTCTTACTTTCTACATAAAGAGTTAACAGACAACATGGTATTCATATTGCTGGTTCTGTTTATTTTTTCTTGATCAAGTTACACTGCTCTAGCTATATGCATTGGACAATCCCAGAGAAAATGCTCCAAATTTGGCAGATTTTTCTCTATTAATTTAAAAGTAGTGTTGATTAATTTTAATGACTTAGTTAAGTTATAAAGCTGGAACCTTCTGAAAATTAATGTTACTTGCTACTTTTTAACAGTCTTTATTGTTCCACTGTGAAATTTTATGATTCCTCTACATCATTTTTAAAAAGTAAAAATACTTTTTATTTGAAAAGGACACAACATTATTAATAATTTGTTATTTTAGATACTAATGAATTAGTATGAAATTACAGCACATATAATTTTATAGATGCTATTCATAAGATTTATGTTAAATATTAGATATTTTATTTTAATGGCAAATATTATGCAAATTCCTTTATTTTTCAGTAAAATATGAAAATTTGTAAATGATCTAGTCCATTTGAAAAATGTATTACTACCAGATTTTAATATAAGCATACAAATTATCTTATGGGATATGTAAGACAACTGCTTTAAATAAAAGGGCTTTTTAACTTATTGGGATGTATATAAAACAACTGCTTTAAATAAAAGGGCTTTTTAAGTTAAGAATAAGTAGAAGTGAAAACTGCGACACTTACAAAAAAGATTTTCAAAACCTTAACTTAAATAAATTTCCAAAGGATTAGAATATATAGAGAGTAGACCAGTAGCTTTTAACCAGGGGTAATTTTGCCCCCCAGGGGACAATTGGCAATGTCCAGAGAGACTTTTGGTTGTCACAGTTCAGGGGAAGGAGATGTGCCACTGACATCTAAAGGGTAGAAGCCAAGGATGCTGCTAAACATCCAAAAATGCTTAGGCCAGCCCCCACCACACACACACACAACAAAGATTTACCCAAGTCAAAATGTCAGTAGTACCAAAGTTGAGAAACTCTAGAGGAAAACATAAAACTGAAAGTCAGAACTCAGGACAGGAAATATATAATTTAATGTAGCTCCCTACTTCCCTCAGCTTACTTTCTGTGACTCTCTATCATTTTCTGCTCCAAAAATAACAGTTTTTAAAGAGACTATGTCCAAAGCAATAATTTTGCAAAAGCCTGGTTATCTTAGCATCCATATTAGAAGAAATTAGTATGCAATTTAATTAAGGCAACCCATCTTCTGAAATTTGAATAGTATGGTAAAAGGTAACTAATTTATAACACTATTGATTTGCCTTTGATATGTAAATAAATATAAGCTCTAATTCTATCATTCCACATATTTTGTGGAAAGTGACTTTAACATTCAGTTTGTCCTTGTGTTATTTTCATTAATTAAATGCCAAATATACTTGCGTATCCAGTGTAACAAGTAAGTTATTGATTTCTGAGCTCATTTTCTTCTTGGGAATATTGGTAATTTAAAGTATTATTTCGGAAAGCTATTTATATGGTTTAAAATACTATTTAAGTTTTTCAATTCACTTTTTGCCACTATTTTCTTAAAACAGTGTACTGAAAAGAAATACATATTTACCAGTGTGGCAAATAACTGAACAAAGTATTTAACACAAAACATTTCATAACAAAGAAAATAACCATCTAAAAGATATCCCAATATCTTACAATGGGATACTAACTCTACATTTTCAAAATAATGAAGTTGCTAAATTATTCATGTTTGAAAAATGAAAAAGAAATGACCCAAACTCTTTTCATTCTCTCTAATTCAAAATCTGAACCATAACAATGACTAAAAGATACATATATCTTATCATCAGTACTCTTTAACCAAATTTATAAAGACAAACCTGTATGTACATGATGGTGAAGAGAAACTAGTAATGAGTATGTACTTCTTCAGTGGATAAAATGGTAGGAGGTTTAAAAAAACTGAGGAAAACTTTATAATCATAGAATATTCTTCAGTTTTCTGGACATCAGACACAGAGTGAAAGAAAGAGCACTTTGGTCTCACTACAGATGCTCTCCATGTCCAAGGAAGGGATTAATCAGCAGTCTCTGGCAGACTGATAGAGGTTCCCATATGTCAACCATGTGACTGTGCATAGGAAAGGAAACTCTGAATGTAGAATTTTGGAGAACACTGTGGCACCCGCTCATGCTTCCATTTGGGAATGCACTTGCCATCAGACTCTATTCTTGTATGTTGAAAGGATCTTGATCATTCAAAACGATGCTGACCAGATATATTTATATATCAGCTTAATTTTGTATTGACACTTTTCTCATGGGTTAGGGTGGGGAACTTGATCCTATCATCCTTAACATACATATTGTGAATAGGGGTCAGCCTTAATTAGGTATTAGTCCAGACAATGTACTCTACCTATACCCAACAGAAAACCCATTAGTATTTACCAATGAGGATGTTTGACCTATAAAATTTACAAATATGATAATGCTTAAAAACCCCAGCTTCTTACTGCTCCTTGCCGCCTTTCTCTTGCCTAACGTTCCTGAAATCTGTTTGCATTAGGGCCCATTTTTTGTCATCTTTTTTCATTGTTTTCACTTTCCATGATCAACTTAAGCATTTTTTCCCTCTGAATCTTTTTGTTTACTACTCAATGTTCATTTTCATCTAGTCTAATTCCCCCTACTCTCATTGATTTTTCTGGTTTTCTGTGGAAATTATTTATTCTGTCTTCTCTTCCTTATAGCTTTCTGCACTGTTTAGCTTTTAATCCTACCGTCATCTACTGTTTTGTATCTCCCACATCTGTTATAAAGGGATCTCCACCTCATTGCATCACTCCTCCTCCATGTTCTGCCCACTACTTCCTTTTACTTTTATTTCTTCCAGATTCTTGTATTGTGATAAAAAATACATAATGTAAAATTTACTATCTAAACTGTTTTTAAGTGTACAATTTAGTAGTGTTAAGTATATCCACATTGTTGTGAAACAGATCTCCAAAATTTTTTTATCTTGCAAATCAAAAACTGTACCAATTAAGCATCAACTCCTCCAGACTGTCTTTTTATGGGTTGCCCTTGCCCATTCTGCTGGGAAATTGGGAATATCCCTGAATTTCCCCCAGGCCACCCACTTTCTACTCTTGCTCTTAGCAACTACAGAATCAGCCATCTCTGGAAACGAAACTCAGCAGAAAACTTCTAAGTTAAACAATTTAGCAAAGTAAAGGTTGCTGCAGGGCCAGTCCCTTTCTTTATGCCTTCCTCCTTCTGGAGGCTTCTGGAAAGACTGTCAATGAAAGTGTAATAGTCAACAGCACCCATCCAGGAAACGGTTGCACAAAATATAAACCTGGAGATTCACAATATCATGGGCTTTGGGCTTATAAAAGACAGTCCAGATTCTTTTTGTACTTATTTTTACATGGAAAATCACTGGTTTCAAGAAGGAAAAACCTGTCATATGCATGTATGCATTAAATGAGAACAAAATATTGTTGTAATGTGGAAAAAAATATATATATAGTTGCTGTTGTTCTTCCACTAATGACTTTATACAAAACAGTGGAAGGCTCTGATGAGGGCAGTCACTTGAATGAAATAAATTACCAGAAGGTCCTTTGGTCAGAGGCATTGTTTTTCTTAATAGGGTCAAATGAGTGGTAGGAAAATAGCTGACTGCCTTAACAACTAAATGAACCATTGCCTTAGGCAATGGGTAGAGATCATATTTCTAGCATGCTGGCAAATTATGTTGTTCTTCAAACATTCAATTGGACATTTCCACCCTCTAAAATAAGAAAAGATATCAAACGTTAAATACTATTAGAAATTTCAAGCTTATAGTTGCTAGGGTGGGGGAGGGGCACTTTTGTAATTTCTTGACTGCTCTGAAAGCAGACATAACCACATACATAATAAAACTTCACAGTTGAATAAGAATGATACTTATCCGCTCTAATTAAAATGCCTATACCCAGTTCATAGGAAAATAACAAATCAATCGTTCCAAATGCGTAGCATGACACAATTCAATAACATCCACAGTTGCAGTTGCTGCTAACACTACCTGGACAGAGGGCAGTGTTATTGCAAACCCTTGATTCTCTTAATGGGCCGCTGCAGTGTGTCCCGTAAGGTGATACACAAGTTCTGGTTCGCACCTGCGACCCTTGACCACAAGTAACTGAGCATGAGCTCCACTGGGACCACTCTTCCACACCAGATTCACCTGCGTGCAAGACAACAAATAAACATGAAATACTGTCTTGAAGTCATCGAGTAAGCATCATACCAAACTGACATTACGACATGCAAGAATAATTTTAAATGTAAAAAAAAAATATATGACAGTACATCAAAAGGTACGAGAAAACATTTCAGAGAAAAAGGAATCTAAAGGGAGATACATATTAAGCATATTGTGTTAATGCAACATCCAGGTTTGCCTCAACCTTGTGAGCAAAACTACTCTTCACAAATTCCACCGGGCCACGGACACCTTGAAGGGGCCAGTCTGTGTTTTTCAACAGGAATGATTGTTGAAGCGATGCTCTTCAGGCTTTGCACTTTGATGGATGAGGAAGCAAAATGTATCAGTAACTTACTCTGGCTTTGGTGAACAGGAATACAATGATGTATTCTTCCCTAGTCCTTTATTACATAACCTCCTTTCTAATGCTGGATGAGATGGAGCCCTAGGAGTGTGGGCATATTTAATTTTCAATGTGTTGAACATTGACATTTATAATTTATTCCTAGTATGATTCCTACTTCTTCACCCTATGGCAGCTATTTATTTTGTGATCATTTATTGAAAACCTTCTGTCACAAATTTTCCCCATGATCTAGAGTAGAGAAATGATTTTTACTTGAAACGAAAGAAAATTCCTCTATGGTTTCTATTAATTTAATATGGAGCTAAATTGTACTTTGAAATAGGGCCCTAAAAGGCACTGAAACAATGTCTACTTTCTATTATTATCTGAAGTCATGTCCCAAAGGAGACTTAAAGTGAATAATTTCTAAGACCATTGAAACAGGCTTCTCATTCTATTCATGCATTATGTTCAGGATAGATTTTTAACACTGATTTGAAAACGTGCAGTTGTTTTTCCCCAAATACAAAATTTACCTGTTAGCAGGAACTATTTAAATAAACCATTTAGATGTTGAAAATGTTTACAGGTGAAGTGTTTCAGAAAACTTTGTATCACTAATGATATAAATTAAGGAGCAACTTGTATTTTATAGGTTCTGCTTGAATTTGCTTTCGGAATAGAATTCAAGGGACAGAATACGATAACCCATGTGTCCATATTTTTTGAAAGGTTGTTAAATGACTTAGTAATTACTTGCTGTGCTAGTCAAGGCAGCAGGTCCACAGACTCTACTCCAGAACAGAAGGCGGTTGGGCCAGGATGTAAATTTGCTGATTTCCTCACTGAGAATTTTTTCCAAAGGAAAAAAAAAAGTGTTGGCTGAAATAAAACATGTGCTTGATAAAGTAGTTCAATTTACCCTCTGGTGTAAGTTTTTAATCTCCTGGAGGGACCATAACTAGTTACACACAAGCATGGGTCCGCAGACCACATTTTGGGTAGAACCATTATGAAGTATTTGCTCTTATATTGGTCTGCATTATTGACCCAGAGGCATAGATTTTAATGCATTTATAACTAGATATATATCATAAAGGAACAAACAGGGGTAACGGGAATGACATATTACATTAAATAGGGCTCCTTTTTAGTGTTGTGCTCATGTTTGTCCTGGAAATACAACCTATATAGATTACCCTTGGTTATTTGAGTATTTTTTGCCTTTACCAATTTATATATAATTCATTAAAAAGTTACTGGATGATCATTTGAATAATATTTAAGGCCACGCCTCATAATTTGTTCTTTTACATTAAATAATACTTTATTAAGATTAAAATCATTCTATAAACCCAATAATATGATCATTAATATATATATATATATATATACATATATATATACATATATGTTTGTGAATGAATAATTTAAGCTTAAAGTTAGGGACAATATAATGCAAAATTTTTACTTTTGATATTTCAACTTGCGTTTGTGGTGACATTAAGTGGAAATATTATGGTTGTATGTTATTAATTAAAAGCCAGAAAATCTTGAACAATATGAATCTATGGTAAATGAAATTCTATAGTAAGTAAAATATATTGATTATGAATAAAGTGTTATAGTTTTCCACAAAAGCAGTCCTTCTCTTACCCTTGCATTGTTATAATGGCAGAAAAAATATTTTAATTAAATTGAGCAATGAATCATGATCAAGATCTAATATTAAATGTATTCTGTGCAAATATATAAAAATTTGGGTTGCTTCTGAATGTAGTATGTTGCTCTAATGATTTTGAACAGGCTAAGCAGTGATGACTGGATCATGAGAGATTGATTGGTGCTCAGAAATGGCCTTCTTCACTCCCTGAAACTGGTGGTTAATTTCAGAGATCAAAAACAAAATAAATAAATGAATAAAATATTGGCTTTCAAATTATGAATCAAATTTTGCCTCTCAAATACTGGCCTACCTACCCAAGTGACCTTGCTATACATCAAATGCTATAGTTTCAAATGTCATTTTCACTAAATAGTTATGATTTCCATGCTGTCACTTCCTCATTGCAAAATGTTTGAAGACTAGTCAAGCACATTGGGTCATAGTGAGAAGCAGCTAATGCATTTGATAAGAAAGGTATATTTTTTAAAACTCACTGACATTAAAATAGTAAAGTATGATACAAAGTACTCAATTTTTTAATGTGTGTGCCTCTGGAGATAGCACAAACTAATTTGGTTCCTTAACTTGCAACTGAGAAGGCATATTAAACATTGTGTAGACGGCTTCTGTAGCTAAGGCACTATTGAGGCTCTTTACCTGGCACAAAACATGAAAGGAAACTGGGAAAGCACTGCAATGGAAGTCAGAAGACCTGTGTTTGATGGAAAGCTACTGAACATTAGCTCAGTGACTGAGAAAGCCAGTCTATTTCTCTGAACCACTCAACAGAATGAGTAATACCTCTAGCTCAAAATGTATTTGTGAAGATTAAATGAAATAATGTATGACAGGACATTTTTAATTATAAACAAAACATTAATATAACATTTTGCTAGTATGTTAAAATCATGAAATTAGAAACACACTTTTATATTTTCTGTTTTAGATACCATGCTATATATTCCTATTGTAGGCTTTTTCCCCTACTGGAATAAAAGATGGCTTTTCCAAACAAGTTTGTCTTAAACCATCTTATTGGCATTTGTATTTTTATTAAATATCTATATCTTATCACTTCATTTAATTTCCCTTGACTATAAATACAAATTGTGTACTAGGCTATTGGAACATTGTTCATTTTTATTCAAACTAGCTTATATCAATTATTGTACTAACCAAACTGATAATTTATTTTGATAAAGTAATGCTACCTCGCCAAATGTTGCTCTTTAAAAAAACAAACAAAAAAAAAACTTTTCCACTCATTTTATAAACTTTATAGAAAGTTTGTTTTTTAAATACAAGGCTTACTGATTGAGAGGCCAGGTTACTCATTTTGAGAAGTAACTCTTAAGTTATAAATTTTGATAAATTTGTTTTGTTTTCCTCATGACTAATATAAAAAAGATATATAGTATCTTTTATTATTCAATTTTACCTCTATTGCTTTATTGTTTGTTCTCAAATGAATGTTAGCAATGTTATTATTGTTTATATAGAACAACCATTTCTTGGTTTGAAAGACAAATAGAAAAGTTTTATAAATAAAACCTATTTTTTTAAATTTTGTGTGACATTTAACTGTATTTATGCAGAATAACTAACTTAACACCTAAAGAAAGTAGAATCTCAGAAAACATTTAAGGGAAAAAATTATCTCTTTTTATCTTTATAATTCCCTAGTGTCAAAAGTTGTTTTATGTATTTAAAAAACATTTTAAAATAATTTAGTTTTCCAGTCTTTTATCAGTAGCATAGTAACTTAAATTTCAAACAAGTATTATACATGAATTTATATTTGCCTATACTATCCCTGGTTTAAAATTAAATAATAAATATTTATTATCATCAATTTGAGCATCCATTAAATATCTTCAAACAGTAATTATGAAGTTCATTGCTTTTCCTGAGTGATGGTTACAATATGGGGACGTGAAATTGAAGCTCCTTATAGATAGATCTACTTAATAAGTGTTTCATCTATTTATACCAAATGATTTATTATTATATATTAGATGCAAAACAATGCCTGGAAAAGAACGAATAAATTAAAACATAAATTAGCAATTTCTCACTAAGAAAACATAATGTGATTTGAATTTGCAAACAGCATTTTCACAAAAACTGAATTTTCTTGGTATATGTCATAGGCAAATCCAAAAACTGAATTTATGTAAAACGCAAGTTTACATAATATTAAGCATTAATCAATTTTACCACATTATTGGAAATTTAAAACCATAGGTTTTACAATTTGACTCCTAAGTGATCCCAATTTGAAGGCATTTCAGTAAACCAATGTCTGCAGCAAAAGCAATCCAGATAAGCAAGTTATCTTCATTTCTGGATTTGGCTGCAGCATATACATAAAAAAGCTAAAAAAATATGTCCTTATTATAGAATTTATTCTAAAAATCCTTCCTGTTATGAGAATTCTTTGACCTACTTGCAACTAATGTATTAAAACCTACCACTCACCCATTACCAACAGTACAATTCATTAAGAATTTACATTTTTAGTTGCAGATTCAAATCTATTTTTCTGAACAAATATTATCCTAGAACATGTGAACTAAAGGAAATATTCATTCTTCAAGGGAATTTCATCAAAATCATTCTAAATGTCTTCTCAAAAGACTGGTCATGTACAAGAAACTTCTATATTAATGGTAAAACAAATCATTTAGATTGAAATGCATAAAACTTTATAAACACAGATAACACTGTTAATTTGCAAATTTCTAAAATAAAAGTGACAGTTGAAAATGTTCACAACACAACTTAAACATGTTTTCATTTAAGAATTTACCGCATGCAATGTAGCCAGATGAAATTATAGCTCATTTATTATGATGAGCCAAAATATGAATGTATTTATTTGCTTACATATATAAATATATATATATGTTTGGAGGGAGATTTTTAAAAGTCATTAATTTAGGATTAAAACTTTTATAAACTGGAAAGTCATTTTTGTTGATATTTAATTATTTATGTATTACAGCTTACTAAAAAGACTCTCAGCTTTTTATTATTTAGCTTATATAACAAAACCCTCTTTTCAAATCAAAATCATTAAATTCTAAAAAAATTGTTTCTAACCTTTCCATACATTTTAGCAATCAATTAATATTTTTGTGATGTATGACTTCTGAAAAAATATTCAACATATTAAATACTGTTAAATTAAATCATCTAAAGTCCTACTTAAAATTTAATTCTAAAAAGTCCTATAATTATTGATAAAATAACTTTATTGACTTTGTTTAAAAGTTTAATGATACATTTTAAATAGTTAATTAACATAAATGAATCATAATATGTAAATCCTAAATGTCCCATACTGAAAACGAAATAAATCTTACACATTTTTTGTGCACTTTTCATTTCATAGCTACTTCATTTATGGACTTTAACTGGTGACAAAAAAATGGTTAAAAAAAAAAATATCAGCTCCAAAAACTGACAAATGTGCAGCAAAAGATTATGAAAACATGCAGTGGTTTCATTAAATTAACAACAATAAATAGAAAAATGTAACTAACGTATTACCAGTTTGTGCCATAAATTTAGCAGCATCAGCTTGTTCCTGAGGGACCCTTTTTTCATGAACAGATCGAGGTCGCTGACTTTTAATTGTATGATCTCCCATCATTCCAAATTCTAAAGACAGAATAAAGGTATATAAAAGCTTGTGTGTAGACATTTGTCACAAATTACATTACTGTCTCATGCAATATGTTCCTACACATACCTAGAATTTACTAATTAAATTCACAATTCTAAACTTGCTAGGCTGATCTGCTTGGAATATTTCTAAACTCAAGTAAAAAAAAATCTATAAACAAGAACAAGTTTTCAAGAACAATAATAACAGTCAATGAAATGACACATCAGGTTTTAAGTCAGCATAATTAACAGAAATAGTGTACTCTTTTCTGATAATCTTTTGAAGCAATACATTAGAAAAAAATACAACCACAGTGTTAACTGTTGTTTTTCAGAGATAGAATCCTAACTGCGTAACAGCTGCTGCTTTGCTGAATAGTAATCACTCCCACAAGTTTTTTAAGCACTTTTTTTGAGGAATGAGTAATCCTGTAAACGAGCTCTCCGGAGGCAAACATTCACTTAATGGACTATTTTTCCAAAGATGAGGTTGCACTTGGCATCCTCAAAAGCTCATAGAAAACTGTGGCTGAAGTAATTCTCATTCTCTCCTGCCTTGCCCCCAAATAATTCCTCATCTCTTTCCTAACCTGATGTAAGAGAGTGTGATCTCTTTCAAAAGTTATGCTTAAAAATGGGAATGACTCCAGGTTTCTGTTATTTAGTCCTTTAATGATGCACCTTTAGGAGAGGTGAAAAATTTGGGCCTAACGCAGAGAAAAATGGGGGAGAGAAAAAAAAAGTTGACAAAAGACTAGAATTCCATGTAATATACTTTTTGAAAATTCATATGCTTAGAATTCTGCAGGAGTTCCATGCTTATTGCACTGTTACTATAAAATAATTTTAATAAAACTAAAGCCTAATGTATGGAAGAGTTGTTAGTTCTGGCTCATAGGAGTGTAAGTAGGTGAAGAGAATTTCTGAGGGGCGGGAAATCATTGTGCTTTCTGGTACATCGAGAAAATTGTTCAGCCCTTAAGGCCAGGTCTTTAATACATAACAAAGATGATTGGGTAAAAGATGTTCTAATGATAGTGCAGATATATTGCCAGAACTACTAATGTCAACATTTAGAAACGGATAATTTCACTCACTTATTGTTTTGCCTTTTCCCATCAATCTTTAAATAACTTTCTGTTAAAATATTGCAGCTTACTTTGTGCAATTAAGTCATGTATTTTGCAAGCACTAATTCTACCCACTCTTGTCTTTTCTGTAAGGAGAAAAGACTAGCACATATTTGTCCATTCTGGCAAACCCCCCACATGGATATTAAAGTATGATACCTGACAGATTGATTTGTCAGATATTATTTCCAGATATTCTTCCCAAGGGAACATATCATGAGAAATTTGAGAAAGCTAAATGTATATTTGTTTTTGTCAGTTTAGATAAAATCCAGGCAGAAAATGAAAATTTTCATAAAATGTCATTTGGTTTAATCTTGTAAAATCCATCACTATTTTCCGTTACTGCCAACACCCTTTCATTCCACTCATTTATATATACAGCATGTGCTACCTAAACCATGCTTCATTGTGTTCATAAGAAGTATCTAATCACATATCATTTAATAATTTTGAAAACTGACTACTTAAAGTGTTTATATCTAGACTCATACACTATCCAATATTTTGGACTATAATATACAATTGAAATTTTTTCTGGATCTGAAATAGCAAAAGAAGTTTAGTTGTAATTTTTATTAACAGTAGGCTTTATCTTATATCCTCTAGAATTTATAATTTAAGCTGTGGGTATGTGTTTGTGTTTGTGTGTGTGTGTGTGTGTGTGTGTGTGTGTGTGTGTGTGTGTGTGTGTGTGTGTGTGTGTCTATCGCTTAGGGCATTTAAGTCAGAGTGTATGTTTATATAAATAAGTTCGGTCTCTAATGCTTGGACTAAGGTAGTTTTGGCACTGGGAAGGCAAAGGATATCAAAATAAATTATCCTATGCCCACAACTTCTTAACTACTTAGTAAGTAACTTTATTACCTCTTCTAGTAGAAGACAATTCTTCAACTCAATGGCAGCATGATAATAGTCTGCAATCTGTTTTCTAAGGAAAAAATAGTTTATTTGTATGGGGACTATGATCCTGAAATTTAGAGGTTTGAGTATGTTGGTGGACACTGCGGAGATAATTTTAAGTGTCATATTTAATTTTTAATGACTCCTGAAATTTAAACACAAGTGAAGAACTTATTTTTTTAAATAGGCATTAGTATTTAAATGAATTATTTCATGTTATTAGCAGGAATCTGATTTAAATCTCTCAAACATGTATAATACAAATTAAACTTCAATATTCTTCACTGTAGTCACTTCTACTTATCATCAATTATCTTTTTTGTGAGCATTAGTGCTTATACCTTATCATGGGGTCACAGATTTAAGATAGGAAATTGTTCAATCATCTATATTTTTTACATAATCAAAACTTTAAAATAATTTTTTATTATTGTTGTCAATATAATTTATCTAAAAAAATTACTTTAAAAAAAGTGAGAATATGAGAACTTGATATAACTAAATTCTCCATTATGATAAAAAACATGTTAACAATTTCTTTCTTTTTCTCAAATGGAAAAACAACACTATGGTGGTATTTTCTGAATGTCCCAGACCTATTGTTTCAGACCTAAAACAATCTGAATTTGTAAGTGACACATATAAACTATTATCTAGCCAAGTGAGATTTTTGGCATGTTTATGTGCCAAGTGTTTGGAAAAAAAAAATCTTTGTTTTAGGATTGTTATTAATGGTACAATTTAACAATAGATATCATGATTCCATCCGTATCTCCCAATGGGATATTTTCAAAATATTTGTGTTCTCTTTTAAGATGATATTATCTTTTTCACTTCTAATGAAAATAAAGGCCAATTAGATCATCCAAACCTTGGGGGGAAACAAAAACAAGCTATTATTTTTGCTATTATCCTCTTATGTGGTGAATGTGGGTTGAGATAAACCTTTAGCATAAGTTCATCATGGATTGTTGATTCATATTCAAATGATTCTGAGTTTGCAAAGATAATATACTACATTAGTTACACAAGAAAAATGGCATAGCCAAATAAAACGATGATCTGCTTTGGTGAAAGCAATGAAAAGCAAGTTATGAAATCAAATGAAGTAATGTACAGCATAATAGTGTGTATGTACATATGATACATGGCTTATGAAAGTACAGGGTTATTTCCTATATCTTTATGTTGATGATATCTGTTAAGTGGTGGGTAAATAACTGCGTTGATGTATAAAACTCAAATGATTGGACATGACTTCCATGTTCAGGTACATTTTCTCATAGGCTCTTTTCACTGTGCTTCTTAATAAAAAGCAGTAGTCTCTGGAAGCAGGATACAATTAAAATTACATGAAAGAAAGGCTTTGAAAATGTATTGCTTTGAGCACAGTATTATATCTTTTCTTCCCCAATCTAGGAATACATAAGTAGATCATTAAGAACAAACAGACCTAAAAACTGATACTTGATAGCCAATTGTCAGTTATGAAGTTTTTGTCTGGAAATCAAGGGTTATAATAATGTGAAATTGAAGTCATCAAAAAGTTAAAACACATGTCCACTTGTTATTTTACCATGTATTCATTTTTTAATGTATAGACAACCAGAACATCAGATTAGTTGATATCAATTATGACTTCAATCTATCTTGCAATGTAAATAATCACTTCACATTGCTAGCTTACTTTATTTTGCATTTCCGCAGAACCATTCTCGCCTAGTCTATTATTGCTTCTCTACAAACTCTCCAGGTTATGTCCTACTTATATTCTATGGCCAAAATGCACTACATTTTGTCATGGAAATAGTCAAGTCACTGTACCCTTTCTCTCACTTTTCTTCACTTGAAACACCAGCTCTTCTAGTCCTGTCTACAATAAAGCTCTTTTCCAAGTTCAACTCCAAATGGCACCACATTCATGAACCATTTCCTAATCAACCAATCATAATCATCTTCTGCCTTCCTGAACTTCTTTTTAGCTTTATATCAATAATTGGCTTTCATTTTAACTGTTAGATTGTCTTATTCCTCCCACTGGATTATAAACATCTATGAGAAGGAAGGATGACTTAGGGGTTTTGAAATTACTTCCTGCTTTGCATATAGCTGGGGTTCAACATTTATTTACCATATAAATAAATCTCATGTTAACAATTACTTTTTCAAAATGCAAGTTTCTAGGTAGCTAGAACCATTTCTTTAACTTGCTTGAAGAACAGTTTGATGGGAAAAAATAAAATTCTTAATGAAATGCTTGAAAGTTATTTACATATGATTATGATGCTAAACAATTTTTCTGTCAGCAAGGTTTATCATCCATAAATATATTCAGGTTACTATTGAAATATTACCTTACTTAGAATTTAAATCTCACTACCCTAAAACAAAGCTTAATTTTGTCAACAAACATTTATTAATTAATATGTGAGGTATTCAAGTTATAAAGATAAATATGAAATAGTCTCTGATACTCTTGAGGTAATAGCCCAAGGAAATTCAGTAAAAATGGTCTGATATTCTGGAATATAAAAATTTATATATTTTAATCAAATATTAAACTATACTTAAGACCCATTTTTATATTAATTTCCTAATATATTACCCTTAACAATAATGACTTGCTAATATGTCTCCAAAGAGAAAATACATCTTTTAAGCCATGCAACTAGACATGTGACATGACATTCCACTTGTCATACTATAACAAGTAAGAATATCAAATGCATAACTTGTTGGGAGAAATATTATTTCATCTGGCTGGATTATGGTGATATAGACAAATTCTGTTAAGAAGCAACCAGATATTTTCTGAAATAAGATTATTATACTTAATGCATCCTAGGTTCATATTTAGTCAGGAGTTTAAGTTATTGAAGTTGTTCATTTATTTTTATACATATTGGAAATAGAATTGGCACAATTATTTTGCATGCAAATTTTTTTGTGTGCAGTATATAT